TGGTCTTTTACACTGAAGGGTTAGTTCACCCAAAAAGTCTGTCATAATTGAATCACCCTCATGTCATTACAAACCTGACTGACTGACTAACAGAAAATATTTAGAAGAATATTTTAACAGTTTTTGTCCAAACAATGAAAGTTAATGGGGTCCAAAACCATCACTAACAGACATTCCCAAAAAATCTTCTTTTCTGTTGCACAGAAGAAAGGAAAGCCATCGGCAAATTGCAAAAAAGCAGCATATCTGTCCCATCCTATCCGTCCCAGCTGCTGTGGCACTTTTAGTTAATGAGTTACTTTAAAACACTTCAAAATGCAAACCACTTTGTTTGCTAGAGATCAGCAGCAACATTTTTTTTCTTGAGCCAATTACTCATCACATGCCTTGTTGAGGCAAAGTCATATAACTTTTTGATGGAACTCTAGGAATTTATTTGGTCCGTTTTTGATAATTGTTTAATTGTTGTTCATGCTTTCATCTTATTACCAAAGATTTTGATTATAATATTTATTAAAAAAATAGTTCAAATTTAACACACATATCTGTCTCAAGCAACAAGTGTATACTTTTTAGGCTCATTTTGGTCATACAGGTTTAAAATGACATGAAGGTGAGTAAATGATGACAGGATTTTTATTTTTGTCTGAAATATCCCTTTAAGACAATAAAGACTTATAAACCACTGCCTCAACTCGTCTCACTTTTTACATTCAGTCTCAGTGACAAATTGTCTTCAACAGTATTAACCTCTCCATTAGCACCTCTGTAGACTCCCACAACGCCTCTCCCTTCTCTCCTCCTTGGGAACGATCAACCTTTTAGTGGTGATTAGAGGCTGTGTTTGGGGAAGTGATTAAAAGCCCCCTAAGCAATTTAGCTTGAGCAAGTTAGTGCCAGTGGGGGAAACGGCAACATGGGAGTGCGCATCCCACGGCAGCTGCTCCTAACAGTCTCCGCAGCCCTCTGCCCCCCAACCGCAGCACCTGTCTGCAGGAGAGATGCGCACAGAAAGTCTCTTTATTCCCAGAAGGGCTCTTGCCTTTCTCTGTCTGGACTAAAGGATCCAGTTGTGATGTGTCTTGATGGGTTAATTATGAGAATAGCTCTGACAGTTGATATTGAGATCAAAGCGAACAGGCGTACGGTCCCTCTCGGTCCCTCAGGCATATATGTATTCACACCAGCAGATAGCTATGCAGTGATAAGTGCCTGAGAGTGAGGCGGGAAGGCTAATTTATACCCCACACCTCCCAAATCCTCACTCACTCTCTCTCTCCCAACTCTTCTGCATCCAGCTCGCCCCTGCCTCCCTCTAAAATCATGCTACTAAAAATTAAACGACTCTTTAGAAGTGAATGATTAATCTAATGAAGCTGCAGAGGTGTTCTACTTCTGTTAATGAAGCCTTGCATTCTAATAAGTCACAGGCATACACTGTAATCATAATTGAAATGCCAAGCAGGGTTAAAGACAAACTGTGATCGCAGATGTTGCAGCGCTGAGATATATATGTAGAAAGAAAACGAGTAGGCAGCGGCTGCTGGGGGCTTTTATTCAGAGCTCAGGGTCCTTGGATTCCAGCTAAACATCTGTTTTTCAATGGGCAATCGCAGTATCTTGAATACATATAACAGACTTCTCAGCTTTTACAAGCGCCTTGCAAGTTTCTTTGCGTGCAGACTCCCCTATGTCTGAAATGAAACACCTCCTCGCTCTTCGAGGAGTAAAAAAAAGCTGGTTTGACACGAAGAGTTTGCATTTCTGATTTGCATTGTTCGAGGCCAAGAAAAGAGAGTAAATTATGAATGAGTAATGCTATTCGAGCACGTCAGACATTTAATCTGCGCAGTTGAATGGAGCTCCATATGAATATATGACTCCA